TATTGTGTAAAATATCCATTAATACCGTATAAAATTAGCAAAACTGTGAAAAAGTTACTAAAAAGTTGCTAAAAGTGAGAACGTCCCACAAGGTGCTAAAAAGGTGAAATAAAATTCTCTCTTTGGCACTGATTGTGACAATATTTCCAAACATCGCACCATTGAATACGTGATGTCATGAGTTATTTTTAAAATGTCATTTGCATTTCACATATTTTTATGCGGATAGCAATTTAATTTTTCACACAAAACACATCTCATTTCAAACTAAACATTTATACTGTGTGTATAACTTGACATTAAATTAATCTACTTATTTGATATACAGTACAAAAGTGATTACAATATTGATTGTTGTGTTGATTGTATTGAAAGCAATATAACTGTCACTGTATTTAAGACAATAGTCCACACAATGAGATACAACACATTTACACCACATTTTGTGTTTATATTAAGTATGTATTCATTAAATAAATGCAACGCTCAGTGGATAGAGTTTAAGGACACAGTTATGGGCACCGGATGTCTCATCAAAATCACACCCAAACTCAAAGCCGATTGTCTTCAGGCCTATGACAACAAACTCGCCGCCCGACCCAAACAGGAGAGGGATCAGAAGGTATGTGACAATAGGATCACTGTATGTATGATAAGCATAATAACCAAGATTATACGTGATTATGATTACCATCAGGTGCTTTGTTGCGCGTATTTCGCGCTCCAGTCCTGTGTACTGAAGATCGCGGAGAATGAGTGCAATAATAATAAAGAGGCGGAAGAAGTGGCCAAAAGTTTTCTCAAAACAATCAATCGTAACATCGCTTCAGATGATTGTATTGATTACGGACTCACGGCGTGCATCGATCCGAGCATCAAATGGACTCTTGTGGCCATTGGTGGTGCCCTCGCACTCGTCATCATTTTGCTTGTGTCGACCATTTGTTGGCTATTGTTATCGAGGAAGCGAAAGTAGGGGCCGTCTTGTCTAATGGTGTACAGAATATTTAATTTTAATAAATTAATACCATGTTTGTAATTATTGTTATCATTGTAACAAATTGTAATATAGTGTAACAAACATGATTTACCATGATTAACATGTTAATTTAATAATAGAAAAGTTTTAATTTTTATTACCGTAATTATCTTTTGAATAATTACTATATCCACAATATTTTTGTTTGTTAATATAAATATTTAAATAAAAACGTATATTATAATAATTATATTTAAATATTGTTATTAATAATTGTAATATTGGATACATTTCATCGACAACAAACAAACATGATAACATAGAACTTGTATTTTTATCGCAATTAAAATAAAAATTCAGATACATGATTGTAAACGAGATAAACAAATATACTAATAACGCCCAAAATTAAATATACGTGTTAGTAATTATTGTGGGCCTGTTGTTTGAAATGATCTTGCTGCTCGCCATAATTAAAGAGAGCAAAAGCATCGTGATTAATTTCTTGATTTTGGGTATTATTGGTGTTGTCGGCGAATTGTTTTTTAACGTGGTCGCCGGTTTATGCAGTTTGATCCTGATCGCCTTGACCGCATTTTACGCCCACTTGCTTGTTAAAAGGGACCGTCAAAATATTTCACATCACACATGGTCATAATAATTTAAATTTATTTTATTTAATAATTTTATTTATTTCTCTCATTATTTATACTGTTGCAAAATTATTTCTAATTTTAGATAAATGAAATATGCTTAATTTTATTTATTTGCTTTAAATTACTAATCGGCACTCTTATTTTAGGTTAGACAAATTCAAATTCACAGTGTGCCATAAATAGGCGGCGCAACGGTCAGTAAAAATTTAGGTTTATCAGTTTAAACAAGAAACACCACATGAAGGTCAACCTAATAGTTTCTTATCTAGTTGTCTATTGTGGTTAGCTCTCAATCTATTTACACAAACGTCATTTTAAATAAAAAATCATAGAAAAGATAATGCCCATTTGTGGGATAGCGGGCAATTGGGAATTATTATTGTAAAATGAAAGTACACTCAAAAGGTAGTCGAGTGATATACTTCATATGTCCAGATGCTTTCGGGTCTGACCGTAGTGACCACTTTTATCGGTGAAATTCTGAAAATCAAATCTTTTATTCTATAAATAACCATATTATATTATATATCAATAGAAAGGTATGAATGATTAGAATTGAAATCCGAAAGAATTTCTCAAATCTGATTAACGATTAAAGTTATATAAAAATTAAGAAATTCAGTATCACTTATGAACGGTTTTTATAGTGAATAACGTAATTACTGAACATCATTTATATTAATTTCAATTATGCCTACAATGATAATTAATTTTGCAAATTAAAAAATAAATAGAATTTTTTAATATAAAATTTTTGGCATTTTTCGCATTTCATTAAACTTTATCCTTTATTTATTAAATCACATTTTTAATGAGATTTGTGATCATATTTACGATTATCAATCATTTTATTAATATTTAATTTGATAGTATTCGATAAACATATTTTCAAACGTGATCTCAATGTCTTTGTGCAAATACGATTTGTTTTATTATTTTTTAACAATTTCATTAATAATAAAATTGCGCACAATTAAAAGTAGATCAAAAATATGTAAACACGTTGTGTTCTCTATGTTAAATATAATTATATTGTGAAATGCTTGTTAATTGTCAATTTAATAAATTAATTATGTATATATTCAAGTTATATATTTTAATGGGACATGTGGCTACACTAAGGTATGCGGCATACCTACAGTGCCTATTAATACTTTAAATGATAACTGATGATGTTCTAAATATTTAACTAAAATATTTAAATTATTTGTTACATTAATAATTCAGGAACTAGTTTAATAATTCATATAGAACTATTCAAAATTATATAATGCAAAAATATCATATCGATGCAAATATTTATTTATAAAATGCACAATTATTTTAAATATTGTACATGTTTTACAATAAAATAAATCTAATTGTTTATAATAATGTTTTGTAATGGTTATTTTATTTTTATTTAAACACCCAATAAATAATATATGGACGTTTGTATTATTGCTCATAATTTATCATGATATTAGCATGTTTTAAAAATAAAGCCAAAACTATGAAGAGCCAATTTAAATAATTAAGAAGTTTGTACATGAATGAAATTATTAATTTCAAATCACTTGATAAGGGAAACCTAATCACAAACCTAAATTTGACATTGTACTTAGACTGACCAGATGAGTTTATGACAATCCTGGATTTTGGGCTGAAATCAGCCCTATTGTCCTGGATTACTGGACATTTTACTAATTTTAGCTATATTATTCTGGACGCCTCCATAGACTTAATGTTTAAAATATTTTTAAAATTCTGGACAGACAATCAAATTCCGGGACAATCCAGGCCATTTCTGGACATCTGGTCAGTCTAATTGTACTACAGTATTAGAAAAGTATATAAATCCAGGAATAAGCTAATGGTTAAACTATAATAATATTATATCAGTTTTGTAGAAAATTGTCTGACTTTTAACATAGATTTTACAAAGTTTAAAATATAAACTATTTGTTCTGTTATGTAATGTTTTATTAATAATTACTGACATTTTAAGTTTCAGTTTTTATTGCAATCTCTCTCTCTCTCTCTCTCTCTTTCTCTTTCTCTCTCTCTCGCTCTCTCTCTCTCTCTCACACACACACACATTCTTTGGCACTCACTCTGACAACAATCCCAGACATCTCAACACTACATACAGAATATGAATTTTATTCTAGAAAAGCATTCTCAGTCGTACAAACTAATGTTAAAACTCATTTATGACATTAAACTTAAGCATTAAAAAATGTATTTTAACTTATTGAAAAACAGTCATTTTTGTGATTTTTATATCAAATCCTATCAAATACTATGAATGAGTTTTAACATTAGTTTGTACGTCTAAGAATCCTTTTCTAGAATAAAATTCATATGTAATGTTATTATAAATAGTTTTTTTTGCATTTCACGTATGGATAATGACACTTATATTTGCCACACAAAACACAACTCATTTATAAGAAAATATTATATTATTATATGTATACCGTTGACATTTCTACTGATCTAGTTATTTTATAATAGTTAATAAATTATTGGTAAAATACGAAACAATATTCTATAGACATCTTTATATACAGTGTTACGGAATATTCTTTATAATTAATTATTGTGTGACCACAAGTCATGTTCAAAGAAACAAAAGTACAAAGGAATGTCTGAGTCGAAGAGATGTTTTCAGGGCGTGAAGATCACCTTGATCATTATATACTCGTTGCTACTAATATGTTGTATACTCGGTATTATATTAAGCGTGATTCAACTGATGATTGTAAACTCCAAGACTAGCAAAAATTATACCATCACTATATCGACCAGCGACGGAACTTTTACAAATATAGACAACCCTGATGAAATAAGTGAGATTATAAAAATTTATAAATTCTAAATATTACATTAATTGTTTAAATGTTTTTATTGAAATAATCTACCCGTTTTAAATATAGAAAAGTGGCTTGTATATATTATCATATTTCTCATCGTGGCCTTATTGTTTGAAGTGATCTTGCTAATTGGGGTTATCACAGAGAATAGGATAATCGTGATCATTTCCCTGATTCTATGCATTCTCGGTGTTATAATTAATTTGTTTTATAACGGGTTCGACGTGTTTTATAGCCGCCGTTTTGCCAGTTTGGGCATGGCAGTTTTGACCGCGTTTTACGCCTACATGATTGTTAAAAATGATGGTCAAATGGTTTAACTATGCCCCAGGTCTACATTCTTTTGAACTACAATTCAAGGTAAAAATTTAACCACAAATAATATAATTCTTATATTTATACAAATAGTTTTTATGTAATACATGATTATTACAATTACTGTAAATCATTTACTATGTAAAATAATGTAATGAATCTGATTTTGTATAAGTTAATTTTATTCATGTTATACAATGTTAAAAACATTATACTTTATAGTATTATAATTACATTTACTTATTCATGGTTCAACATTAAAATTAAAACTGTGCCATTTTAATAAAATAGAGTTTTAAATTTATTTATAACCATGATTATCTTTTAAAAAAGTATTGTTTCTAAATATTTTTATTTGGTAAATACTTATTTAGTAAAAATGTTAAAATGTAATTATAACAATAATAAAAACATTTAAAAATTTACCTTGACACAACTAATAAACAGTGTAGGTAACTTTCAACTTTACATTAATATTTAGTTAGCGCCAAACTTATGCATCACTTAACACAGTTAAATGTCATACAAATGTTATATAATTTAAAAATAATATTATATATTCTACATTCTATACCATAAATCCAAACTCTATTTATATAACAACCAAACTTTTTTTATTGTTGTTTTTAAAATACATAACACATGGGTTTAAATGTAAGGCATTTATTGTTTTGTGTGACGTCCAATGCTACCAAAGATCTAAACTCTCTCTCTCTCTCTCTCTCTCTCTCTCNTCTCTCTCTCTCTCTCTCTCTCTCTCTCTCTCTCTCTCTCTCTCTCATCCTTTGGCACTCACTTTAACAACAATCCCAGACATCTCACCATTAAATACAGATTCTGTAGTATTTTTATAAATAGCTGTTTGCATTTCACGTATAAATAATAACACTTTTATTTGCCACACAAAACACAACCCATTGTAAAGAAAATATTTTAATTATACAGTATGTATACATTACCATTAGCATTTACACTGGTCTATTTATTTTATAGTAGTTAAATAATTATTGGGATCTTTATCATTTATACGGTTTTACAGAATATTATTTATAATTAATTATTTCGTGTTTGTATTATAGTGTGACCACAAGTCATGTTTAAAAGAGATCCTAATAGGAATGTCTGAGTTAGAGCGCTGTTTCCGGGGCGTGAAGATCAGCCTGGTCATTAT